GCATTGCCCAAAATAAACCATGTTACCATTAAATTTAGAAATGCTTTAAAGGGATAGTGAAAAAAAGATATTCAGTCAAATAAAGGTGAAATTTATAATTCAGATGTATGCTTAATTGAAAGTTAAAAAAATCATAAAAAAATTAAAAAGTAGAAAATTAAATAAACTAAATATCTTTAAAAAGTAAAAGTTAGATTTTGAGTACTATTTTAAAATATCATATGCACAAATTTATTAGGATATTGAAAGTTAGTCTCATAAAATATTATATCAAATCTAAGTGTGCTGAAACATGTTTATTAGATTAAAAATTATAAGTTTTCCTAATATTTATCTTGTGCTCTGTACACTAAAGATCTTACAATGGGAATAAATAATGGAAAATAATTTACTGCTTTTTCAATCAAAACCATTTATAAGTACTTGATAATCAAACTAGCCAAATAAAATGCTTTTTTCAATAACCAGTTAAAAGCAACTAAGAAAATTTACTACGTATAGTTGAGAACAAAAAAATCTGTTTATTAACTTGCCTCTTTTGGGAATTTTTAAAATAATTTTTTTGTCATATGATGCCTTGAATATTTCTGAATACACAGTAACCAAAACTCTTCATTACTTACAGAACGTTTGGATGAATCTTTTCTCAAAGAACTAAAACACGAGGAGAAATAAAATTATATTCTAGGAAAACATTCAAATGTATGAAGGATCATTATCATTTTGAATTAAATAAGAAATTATTATTTCTTGAAAATTATTATTTTTTGTTGATGAGCAATTTCTACAAGTTTTCTTTTGCTCATAAGCTCTAAATGAATTTCGAAATGCTCAAAAAGAAAAAGAAAGATTTAGATTATAAAGACCTTTATATTATTTAAAATATACCTCAAGTTTAAGGATCATATCTTAAAAATTGAGTCTAATCCTTTCCTTCATGTCTCGGAGATCTTTCGGAAAACTTCTTTATACTTATTTTGAAACGTTTCTTTTTTTTTGTGTGTGTCTGATTTCATCACCTTAATTATCATCTGCAATAATTATTTAGCATATATTGTGTGCGATACTCCAAACCATGAAGGGTGAATCATAGTACATTAAATATTATGTCAAAACCTATGCGTGTAATACTTACGGAAGTCAATCATTTTCACACTATTTATGAGGAATGTAACTTTCTTATTTAGCGTTTTGAACAAACTTTACTAAACTAAGAAAATTTAGAGATTAACTAACTTAATGTTGTGTTCAGATTTTACTAGTCTAGTATAATTGACAAATTTTACTTTTAAAACGTAAGTAATATCAAAAAATTTATTTTTAGAAGCGTCTCTGTGGTTTCTGAATATTTCAATTTTGCCATTAAGAAAGAAGACATAAGGAGTTTTAAATGGCCTGATAGTTGCCGTTAACCAATCCATAGGGAGTAGCTTATGGGTACCTATAGCAATTAATGTTACGAAAGCAACATTACGAAATGTAACACGAAACGTTGAACATTGAAAACATTAAACATTTATGAAACATATTTCTTTATTTTATTAAAACTCCTCAGAGCTTGAAAATCTTTATTTACACCAGCTTGTTATTTATTTTGTTGTTTGGGGTTAAAGTTAATGATAGGAATGGAAAATGTATCAATACTACAATTTAAAGCGTTATCTCAATATTTTCAAATTTTCTGAAATAGAATTCGCTTTAACGATGACTTAACTATACGTAAGCGTTATTACTTTATTATTGACAATGATTTTGTCAGAAATGTATGTATCATTTTAAAAAACGTCAAATCTAATATATTTCATGAATTTTCCTTCTTTCTTGCATCCCCTTATGACACTGTAATAGTATATGATGTTTTCCTCCTGTCATGTAAATATAACTCTGAAATGTTGCCTATATTACAGTATTTAATATTTTCAAGCAAATTACGTGGGCTAAAATTATAGATTAACGTCAAAAAATCGACATAGTAGTTATAACATAGTTCATTATAACATAGTGCCGATTTTTCAAAATTTTTTTTCTTCTGCTTTCTAAACCGTGTTAGTGCTCTTACTTCTTAAACATGTTTTCTGGTTTCATTTCTTAATAATAAATGAGTACTCATTCATTATACTTCCTTAAATTCATTATATTTCCTTTTTCCTTTTTTCCCAATTGAGGATGTATTATGTTAACCCTATTGTTACCAATGAAACTTAGAATTTTAGTTAAATTTTATTAGAAGTTAGTATTTTCTTCAATTTGAAAAAAAATTCGCATTCAGCATTTTCGAAGAAACGCTACCGTTGAAAGGGGAAAAAAAAATTCGGTAAAGTTGAAGCTTGATATTTTGCAATGAATAGACTAATAAACAACAATAATGTGTTATCATATTTAAATTGTGCGTTAGGTAAACAGTTTATGTAGTTAAAATTATTTAATACTCCAATTTTTCTCCAAAACGATTCTTATATAAAATTTATATAAATTTTAGGTTTATTCAAAAGGAAATGAATACCTCATTTCAAGACATCTTTTTCCTTTTCCGAAACAATTCATTGGATAATGATACTTTGGACATGAACCAAGAACAGGATAGATCTGATAAGCAGGAAAAAATGGGAGTTGCGCAAGTAGTCTTTCTCATAATTTCGTCTGTCGGAATATTTGGTAATTCAGTGTCGATTCTTGCCTTGAGGAAATCGAAAAAACTTCGAAGCCCAACCACTGCATTTGTTATAACTTTATGCACTGCCGATATGCTTTTTTGTCTTTTCACTCTAATTAATTTATGCAGACCCGATTGGAACACGAACCACATCTTTTGTATTTTGATAACATGGGCAAAATACTTCGTTGGTGGAGAATCGGAGTATTTAATGATCGGAATTACAATTAATCGATATATCTGTGTAATTTACCCAAAGTATTATCGTTTGATATACAGAAAGAAATATTTAGTATTGCAGATAACTTTAACGTGGATATATGCTTTTATTCATTCAGTTTTACCATTCTTTGGAGTTGTAGGAAAATATGGTTACGAACCTAACAGCGGACTCTGTATCCTTTTGAGACATTATGGAACTGGAGTTACAACTTTCTTTTTTATACACTACTATGCATTTCCAGCCACGGTTTTTGCAATTTGCTATTCGAAAATTTTTTGGGTCACTCATAAGGCATCTCGACGAGTGAGAAAGCAGAGCAATTTTTTTACGCCAGAAGAATTAGAACCTACGGCAACGTCACTAGAGATTCAAAGAGATGATTTTTCTGATCGTGTTGATGATAAGGAACGGAAAATCCTGAAAGTGATGCTAGTCATTTTTGTTGCTTTCCTGATCTGTTACTTTCCAATGGCGCTTATTAATTTTTACGACAGTAAAGCGAAAATCCCTACACTTACTGCTCTATCTCTCTTGGGAATAGTCCTATCAAATGTGATCAATCCCATAATATATGTTGCTATGAGTGCTGAATACCGAAAAGCATATCTTGAACTTTTCGCTTGCAAACAAGTCTGGCTGCCATTGTCAACTTCTTCAAATGCAGCAGCTTCTTCAAATACAGCAACTTCAGAGATGCTAAGTGTTTGATATTGCTCTACAATTTTCTTATTTAGGCAAGTTTATATAAACATTATTGTTGTTATAAGTGTCGCAAATATTATATTAGTGTGCAATGCAAAAAAAGAAAAATAATGCGACCCTTAAATTTAGGAATGGTAGAAAGGAATAGTTAAAGTAAAGATATTTACGCAAATGCAGTTGATAATAACAATTCAGATTTATATTTAATTGAACTTTAAAAAAATCATAAAAAAATGGAAAACGAAATAAATAAAATATCTTTGAAAATTTAAAGTATGATTTTGAGTACGATTTTTAAATACCATCTGTACTAATTAATAAGTTTATTTAAAGTTAGACTCTTAAAATATTTAAATCAAATCTAAGTATGCTAAAATTTACCATTAGTTCAAGAGTTATTAGTTTTCCTAATTTTTATCTTGTGCTCTGTACACCAAAAATCTTGAATTTCAAATTTAATTTATTCAAATGGGAATAATTAGTAGAAATTAAATTCATCCTTTTTCAATAACAACCATTTTCAAATACTTGACAAACAATCTAGCCAAATAAAATGCTTTTTGCAATGTCCAGTTAACAGCAAGTAAAATTCTGTAGCGTGTAATTAAGATCAAAAATATCTATTTAATAACTAGTGTCTTTTGGAAATTTTTAAAAAACTTTTTTTGTTTTATGATTGGTCCAATATTTTTGAATTCACGGTAACCATTACTTTCAGAGTTTTGGATGAATCTCGGCTCTAATCTAGCGAAGAAATAAAATTTTATTCTAAAAAACCAAACTCGAATTTTTAAGGATCATTATTATTCTAAATAAAATAAAAACATTGGTATTTCTGGAAAATTATTATTTTTTGTTTACAATTTAAAAAATCGACAAATTTGCCATCTATTTATTCATTATAACATATTGATCGATTCTCCAACATTTGTTTTGCTTTTAAAACCGTTTGTTCTATATGATTGAATGGTTAAGATGTTAGTGCTCTTACTGCTTAAACATGTTTATTGGTTTTAATTCTTAACAATAAATTCTTGATAATAATGAGTACTCATTCATTATACTTCTTTTATTTTCTTTTATTTCTTTTCTTTATTTCCTAATTAAGGATGTATTACGTTGAACCTATTGTTGCGGGGGAAACTTAAATTTTTGAAGATAGTATTTTCTTCAATTTGAAAATTTTTTTGCATAGAGCATTGCCAAGAAACGCTACCGATTAAATCGAAACGGACCGACGAAATTCTTAAAATTTGAAGATTGATATTTTGCAAAGAATAACTAACTAATCAACCACAATAATGTGTTATCACATTAAAAATTGTGTGTTAAGAATAAGGATACAGTTTATGTAGATAAATTTATTAATTTTCTCGATTTTTAACCAAAAAGATTCTTATATGAAATTTATATAAATTTTAGGTTTATTCAAAAGGAAATGAATACCTCATTTCAAGACATCTTTTTCCCCTACCAAAACAATTCATTGGATAATGATACTTTGGACATGAACCAAGAACAAGATAGATCTGATATTCAGGAAAATTTCACAATTGCGCAAGAAGTCTTTCTCATGATTTCATGTGTCGGAATATTTGGTAATTCATTATCGATTCTTGCCTTGAGGAAATCGAAGATGCTTCGATGCCCAACCACTGCCTTTGTTATAACTTTATGCGTTGCCGATTTGCTTTTTTGTATCATCACAATAATAAATTACACCAGGCCCGATTGGAACCGCAACCACTCTTTTTGTATTTTGATAATATGGGCAAAATTTTTAGTCGCTGGAGAATCGTTTTACTTAATGATTGGAATAACGATTAATCGATATATCTGTGTAATTTATCCAAAGTATTATCGTTTGATATACAGAAAGAAATATTTAGTATTGCAGTTAACTTTAACGTGGATGTATTCTTTTATTCATTCACTTTTACCATTCTTTGGAGTTGTAGGAAGATATGGTTACGATCCTAACAGCGGACTCTGTATCATTTTGAGACATTATGGAATAAGAGTTATAACTTTCTTTTTTATACACTACTATGCATTTCCAGCCATGGTTTTTGCAATTTGCTATTCGAGAATTTTTTGGGTCACTCATAAGGCATCTCAACACGTGAGAAAGCAGTGCAATTTGTTTGTTACATCTGAAGAATTAAATGCCACAGCAAGTTCGCGAGAGAGTAGGATTCAAAGAGGTGATTTTCCGAATCGTGTTGATGATAAAGAGATGAAAATCTTGAAAGTGATGCTAGTCGTCTTCTTTGCTTTCCTGATTTGTTACTTTCCAATGGCGCTTATTAATTTTTTTGACAGTAAAGCGAAAATCCCTACACTTACTGCGCTGTCCTTCTTGGGAATCAATTTATCAACTGTGATCAATCCCATAATATACGTTGCTATGAGTGCTGAATACCGAAAAGCATATTTTGAACTTTTCACTTGCAAACAAGTCTGGCTGCCATTGTCAATTTCTTCAAGTAATACAGCAACTTAAGTGTTTGATATTACTCTATAATTTTTTTATTCAGGCAAATTTATATAAACATTATTGTTATAAGTGTCACAAATGTAATATTTGTGTACAATGCCTGAAATAAATAATGTGACCCTTAAATAATGTGACCCTTAAATAATGTGACCCTTAAAAAAAAGAAATGTAAGAAAGGGATTCAGATATGTATTTAATTAAACTTTGAAAAAATCACAAAAGAATTAAAAAATATAAAATGAAATATTTTAATAGCTTTAAAAAGTTAAAGAACGATTTTGAATGCGATTTTTAAATATCATCTGCACTAATTTATACGTTTATTGAAAGTTAGTCTCCCAAAATATTTAAATCAAATCTAAGTATGCTAAAATCTCACTATTAGTTCAAGAGTTGCTAGTTTTCCTAATTTTCATCTTGCGCTCTGTACACCAAAAGTCTTCAATTTCAAATTTAATTTATACAAATGGGAATAAAAAATTTAAAATAATTTATTCCTTCTTCAATCAAAATCATTTATAACTACTTGATAAGCAAACTAGCCAAATAAAGTGCTTTTTTCAATATCCAGTTAACAGCAACTGAGAAAATCTGCAACGTGTGATTAAGAACAAAAATATCTATTTAATAACTAGCGTCTTTTGGAAATTTTTAATAACGTTTCTTTGTCATTTGTTTGATTTCTCGAATATTTCTGTATTCTCTGTAACCAGAACTCTTCCTCACTTACCGAACTTTTGGAATGAATAGAGAACTAAAAACTAGCTCAAAGAAATAAAACTTGCGGAGAAATAAAATTACATCCTAAGAAAACATTCTAAAATTTTTAAAGATCATTATCATTTTAAATAAAATAAGAAATTAATATTTCTTGAAAATCATTATTTTTTGATGAGCAATTTCCTTAAGCTCGTTTAAGTTTTTCTGTTGTTCAGAAATACGCCATTTCGAAATGCGCAAAAAGAAAAAAAAAGATTAAGGTTATAAGGACTTTTACATTAGGTATAATTAGCCTCAAGTATAAGAATCATATCTTACAGACTGAGTCTAATCCCTTATCCCATGTCTTGGAGATCTTATTTATTTTGAAACTTTTTTTTGCGTGAGTCTGACTTCATCACTTTAATTACCATCTGTAATAATTATTTAGCATGTGTAATGAGGGATACTCCAAACAATGAAGGTTGAATCATAGTACATAAAAATTTCTTTTATTGTGTCAAAATCTATATGTGTAATATATACGGAAATCAATCATTTTTTATATTATTTGTATGGAATGTAAAGTTTTTATTTAGTGTTCTGTACAAACTTTCCTTAACTATTGTAATATAAAGATTTCACTAACATAATGTAGTGTGCATCTTTTACTAGTCTAGTGTAATTGACAAATTTTAGTATTGTAATGCAAGTAATGTTAAAAAATAGTTTTTTAGAAACGATTTTGTAGTGGCTGAATAATTTAATTCAGCCATAACAAAAGATGAAATTAAGATTGGTAAATGGCCTGTTGGTTGCTTTTTACTAATCCCTTGGAATCGCTTGTGGGTACCTTTAACAATTAATGTTAAAAAACAGAAATATGAAATGTAACACGAAACATTAAAAACATGAAACATTGAAGTGAAACAGCTTATTTGATTTTATGACAGCGCCTAATAATAAATGAGTAGGGGAGAGTGGGGTCAATTGTAACATTTTTTACTTAACTATTTTTAACTAACAAAAAATCCATGTGGTTATCAGGAAAGTACGACAGACGA